GATCAGTTTGGGAGGAACCCTTTCAATAGATTTGTGCAAACGTGCTTCAACCAGAACGTTCGACTAATCGTTGGCGTTGTCCAATCTCCGATCACCACCCTCACAATCTTTAGGGCTCTCGCTATTCTTACAAAAGCTTTTTGAACAATTGCTTCAGACCATATTTATTGCGAATCTCAGCCAAGTGCGTCTATAATATCTTGACCTGCTTCCTCTCCATACTGGCCTGCTTTGAGCTAGAAAAAGGAAATCATGCAAATTTGCTCTTGGAGTATGCCGTATTCAAGGCTTCAAAAAATGACAACTAAATAATAAGGAACATAGCTAGCCTAGCTGTTAGATAGAACAAGAAAAGCTCTTCAAAACCACATACAGCTCATTGGCAGCTTGCTTGAATTCGTAACAAAAATAAAGCGTTCAAAAACGAAACACCGAAAAGCGCAAGAACTTTCTTCACGACCTAATACTTCATTAGTAGGTAGATGAGACTCACGTTTGTCCTTGTTCTGTACTTTCCTCGGTCGGCCTGGTCCTCTTCGCAACTCGCTCGCTTCCGCTCTGGAAAAGTCTAATTCTTTCATGTGTTGTAGTGACACGAATTCTCGCGTTTCAAAAAGCAAAGGGTCAATGATGGCATTTTATAAAAGTACTCACGACTGCTTCTTGTCCAACGGATTTAGCCACGGTGTCTCACCTTGTCGTATAGACGTTAGTAAAGTCCCAAGCCTATCTCGAGCAAACTTCATGTCCGGAGATTCGGGCGGAATAACTGAGTCTTCCGCTATGCGAGCACTGTAACAATTCATCATAACGTTGATTCGTGGGTTATCGCTACCAAACGTGACGTTAGGAATAGGATTGGTACAAAGTTAAACAACGATAAATCGTGTGACTTTCTCCTGTATATTTTGAAAATCATCTGCTCGCATTTGTTAATTGAGAAATCATAGAACGCACCCAAATCGCTTTGTTGGAGATAAAGGCGTTACAAATTCACTTGATGGCTCGATTTGAACACCTTCACACGGGCCCAACAATGACGTCTCGTCCGGAATGACATAGTCTTCTACTGTTGGCGGCATTGGCCCCAAATCTGGCTCCATTACTGAAACACTTTTCTGTTTGCTACATCACAGCATACATGGCATGTGAGTCGCTGGTACAGAAGGCGGCTTTCCCGCTTTTTGTAGCGCGAAACTTCTCCGCTGAATATGAGAGGGGACCCCGTCTGCGCTCATGGTTCGAATGTGTGAGATCAAGCGGTCATGAGCCGCTGACAAGGCGAAAGAGCGCAGACCCGAGATTCGCGTTGAGACGGTTTGAAGTACCGAGTTCAAAAAGTGTATCGACCCAAAGAAGGGGTATACACACATGTACACAAGCGCTGTAACTAAAGAATAAACATTCGACATTATATCACCCATTCCCGAGTTCACCACGCGCTCTACTTCCATGAATTGTAGTAGCTTTCAGCCCATGGAACAAGTTTCGGTGACCTATCAACTAGAAATTCACTGTACTTCTCAACCCGAACTGGCCTGGCATCAAACGAGCGACCCTGGAAGCATGGAATACTCGAAAGAAGGCTGGGCTAAGCATTATTCTAACCCGAATTAGACCTTTGGACCGAGCACGTGATAAGTAGCTCTACTTGCCATCACACCAACTAAGCGCACCTAACATTTAGAGCCTACAGAGGAAGTCCAGCCTTCGCATTCCAAAATATGAAAAAATGACTGACGTAATCAACATGACTGAAACAGTCGGGTGCCCACTTAAAATTACCTGAGGTCGAAGACAAAGAACTGGAGAAATTGCCGGTATTTGAGAAATCTAGTTCTCTAAATGAAAAATCTTGAAGATTCATTTGATTAAATGTTGCACTATTATATTTGCAGCTTCGTTACTACTTAGATAATGACCCTCGTACGGACAGAACCGCATTGACAAATAATAAGCAAGCACTCTTTAAAGTTTATGAAATGATATAGTCATAAATTATCCAAACAATCACAAACAACAAAGTACAGCAAACAGTGACAGAATTCAAGCAGATCAGTTGGTCAATCTCTCTTTTGGGATACGCTTCCAGCTACGGAATAGGCTAAAAATGTTCCAGTGGCTATGGCAGACGAGAAAGCAAAGCGAGCTATGACCATCAGCCAACCACGAATATGGAGTACAGAATACAACATCCTGAAACATTCATCCATAAAGCAAAAGAATGAATGAAAAACACAAGTCATGACCGCAGTACAATAATTGCGACCGTTTTCTGTGCAAAAATAGGAATAGAAGGACAAAGGATTATGCATTCAGGAATTAATCAAGTCCTTTATGGCATTGAAAGGGAAAGGATGCTGAAGCAAAAAACGGATTGCCAAAAACTCGCTCCCAAACCCGTCGAGCCATGCGCTCCACCTCCACATTCGCCCCCACTTTCCCGTTTTAGTACAAAATCTTCTTGGGAGAAGTTACCGAATCAAACAACCACCAACCAAAAGCAGAACTCAAACCCTAGAGGTTACAGGCCGTTCCCGAATTTTGCCGTTTCCAGCGAAGTAGCAGTAGAATTTTCGAATCCTATCTGAAAACCTTGGAAGTAAGGCTGAAGAGCGACTCACTGATAAACGAATGTATGGAATACGCAAGCGGTCAGAAGCATGAACACCAGGTGTCTGCTGGATGCGCGAGTTGCCATCCATGTTAAGGCTGCCATTGCGACGAATAGAAGTAGGTCAGAAGATGACTCGAGTGCCATCTGAATCCATCGCCACGAAAAAGCGGACGCCCTATAATTTTTAGATACTTCCTATATTTTCTGTATGCAAGAACCTATGGGTGAATATCGCGATTATGAGTTATAACAATAAATGGCAAACACTCCTAGCGTCCTCACTTGTTTTCGAAAAAAGTGTAGAAACCAAAAAAAAAATCAAAGTAATGAAAGCATTCCGAACCTGGCTCCAACCCAGAAGAGTATGAAGCTGCTCGCCACTGAATGAGCAGCACCCCAACCAATTCCGCCCACTAGGAACCGCACCTAAACATGTATTGAAAGGCAGAGCGCAATAGAGCTCAAAACAACTAAATTCACATTCGAAGACCGAGATTTCGTCGCAGCTTGTGTATGGTGTGCGTGCGGTGACGGGCAGATCGACTTTGCGGTATATGAGATTTTTAGCGATGCTATATGCTAACGCTGAGGGAATTTTGGTGCTGAAACTACTAGCGCGACCAACACCAACATTGTAAAAACATTCGCAAGCTCCGCCTCGAAACAAATCCATCGACTTGCTGATTTATAGCTGTATCAAAGTGGGAGAGAAAGTTCGACATAGAGCAGTCGAAATGGTAAGAACGACAACTAGATGTGGTCATGCAAGACTTTCACCTAATGAAAGGCAAAGCATGTCCGTAGAATGTGAAAACGAAACCCAAGAAAGCTCGATGCTATTCCATTACTACTGCCCCAAATCTCAAAATTTTACTTTTCGTCGAAATTTGTGCATAGAGGAAATTTGATTCCCTGATTACGGATGCGTTATAGATTTTTCATTTTTTGAAACTGGCGCCAGTTGGCGCCACTTGGCTGTTTTCCGCAAACTCTTTGAAAACGTTGCACTGAGGAGTTATTCGATTACCTCATTACGAATAGCACTCATTTTTTTTTCGCTGACGGCATTTTGCCTGTGATCACTCACCCTCGATTCAACACACTTATCATTTTGCCTGATGCATGGTACATTTATCCACCTCCCTCTCCACCTCCTCGACAAAAAGTTGATAAACAGAAGCGTTCTGAAGTTCGTGTGTCGCTTTGTGAAAGCAGTATTCCGCACGATTTGTAAACTGATCATGTAACACAAATCACTGTTTTTTGAGCGGCCGTTTGGAGTCAAAAGAAAATAAGAAAAAAAAAACTCCAGCGCCACCTTTCACCTCAGTTTTTGGCGAAAATGTACTCATATTGCTTACTGATGATCATGATGGCAGCCGTGAGCACCATTTTGCAGCTCACGCAAGCGTCAATTGAACCGCAAGAATCCTCAAGAGAATCAGTATGAACCAATCTTCATTGCAGTTTGTGTCGCTTTAGAGGGCCGCTCAAGGCAAATCAAACATGGCTCCATGTTCGATACACGTGACCCTATATAATGTAAATACTAGTTTGAAAAAGCTAGGCACGAGCTGAAAGACCTGGTAAGGAACTGTGAGAGAGCTGAGTGAGAGAGCAAATGTGTAGACAGTCTAATAAAGTAGGATCGCCGTCACACTCGGCGACATGGAGCGACGCGATCGCTTGTCCGTCGCCGAGTGTGACTAATGAATGTGGTATCCGTGAACGCGGCACCGAACAACACATATGTACGATTTGGTAAAAAAAAATGCCGTCATGACTGAGTAACAGCAATGATGCCAGCATCAAAATGAATATCATGCTGATCAGAGCCTCTAATTACCCCCTATGAGCGGAGTTGCGACAAAACAAAATAAAATTTTGAGATTTTGGGGCAGTAATAGCGCAATAGCGCCGAAGGCTTTGAGAAAAGCCTTGGATAAACACGCAAGCGATTTTGATCTTAGGTCATCACGACTGCTAAGATCAATGATCTGCAGTGTTACAGAGATAGAAAGCAGAATTCATCGCGAACAGAACAAAGACAAAATGAACTGACCTCTCCTTTTCCATTGAGCAGGTGTGTCATAACCAAATGCATGCCAATGACATCAACAACGTCAGCACTGCTCTTCAGCAGCTCCTGAACACAATAGCAGAGATAAGTGAATTGACCATTAGGACTACGACTTTATAAAATAAAGTTATTGATGTGCTTTGCGTAATAGCTATCGCTTCTAGCAACAGCTAATCATCTATAGAAATTTGGCTGAAGTACGCTGGATTTGACCTGGGATTTGATCCAGGGACCATGCGCGCGGTACGGCCCCTTCTGTCAGCACATAATCTCCGCTCAAATTAATATTGTTGAAATATGATTTGGCAATTTAATTGCTTTTCAAAAGAGCACATTTCAGTATTAGGAATATGTGCAACTTGAAAATCACCTTCTGGAACCTTTTAGGAGTTGCCCACACTGACTAGTAACCTGCGGCACGACTTGCTCCACTAACTTATCCAGGGTAACTCTCCTTCACTTAAGACGATTTGCTGTCAGAGTAAGAATTAAGGTTTCTATTTGTGCACAATTGCGCCATCAAGCGGGCGCTCTGTTTCAATAAGACCTAAACTGTGGTAGTGTCTTTGACTACGGAAGTGGTACACATGTGTACCAACAGTAGTCAAGAGTTAAATCCTTTTCAAAGCAA